GAGTTGTGCTTGGACCATCACCCCTCTCGAGACCCCGTTTTGGACGCAAGGGAAACGGATAGAGTTTGTGGACGAGCCGCTGATGCAAATGCTTGATGACAGCCCCTTATCACGAATGCCCAAACAGCATCCTGGAGCCGGAGAAAGGACGTTGAGGGCGCCTGCGCCTGAAAGTTTATATCCAGACCATGGGAGGAGCGAAGACCGAAAGGGCCATCATGCGTCGCGGGAGGGTTTCGCTCATCATGACGGTCACAGTGAATGGTTCCTCTTTTGGACAATCACGGGGCGTCGTGCATTGCAGGTTCCTGTATTGCCGCGGCAAAAGACTGGCCCAAACTTTGAAACGATGGGCTCATGCAGGAAAGCTTTGGGCTTTGGTCACCGCACGCCCTCAGGTTCAGAATCAACGACAATAGCAGCAGAGGCGTTACAGGATGGGTTCGATTATTGACCGTTTGGCCGGGCCTAGAGTCGACTCTTCCTTTGTGTTCCACATGGGGATGGGGACAGGCTGCCTCTTTGGGTCGTCCCATGATGCCGTCGACCAAACAAGCAACGCCAACTCTGCCATTTCTTTGTTGCCTTGCCTGTTGTAGCAGCCGTAGAGCGCCTTGGTCTTCCACCGAGGCTTGGTAAGGCCATCGTTACGGGGACGTTGTAACATGAAACACGGTAGTGAACGGCCTCGATCTCCATCTCTCCTGATTCCCAGAGTGTGACGCCATTCCCAAGACACACAGGACCCTCTCTGCGCGATCCAGAACCGGGTTCTTGGACCCCTGTGCCAACTTGAACTGGCGGTGACTCTTTTGGGAAGCCCAGAAAGTCGGTAAGTTGAGCATGTTGAAACTCAAATAGGTGGAGAGGCGTGCAATATCTTGCAATCAGGTATGGAAGGTCGTTGGTTTCTAGAACACTTCCGGATGAGGCATCGTAAGTCGCCTCATTAGGCAAGGCCGGGGGTGCCACTTCCCGAAGCATTGTCCAAAAGGGCACGGCGAAGGCGAAGAAGGGCGTGGGCAAATAGCCTTTCGCTAGACAAACATTGTTCGATTCACGGCGCTGTTGGCTCGATCGCCCAGAGATTGGCGTAGAGGGTGTGCACCGAGAAGCGCCCAAGTATCAGGTACATGGCATACGAGGCACCATTAAGGGCGGAAAAGAGGCTCGGAGGGTTAGGGAAGGGCGTAACCTTGGCTGAGGAGGCTTCACAGCTTAGGTTTGCGCCCAGCTTTGGTGGAGATGAGCGTGGATATTCCGACTCTCTGGGAGCGAGGACCCGACGGGGTGGACTGCCTCGTGTTGGCGATTCTGGCGACAGCCATTGGTTTCCTGGCAAAGGGGATCTTGAACAGAGTTTGAGCAAGAGCCGGTGGCTCGGTACGTGGAAAGCGTTCCCGCTTGGGGTCCTGTTGAGAAGCGGTGAAGAGTGACGTCGGTGTTTCTGAAGTGTTTGACCATGTAAGAAGCTGCCGTGATGTTGATTCTGCAAGACATTCATGTCGACATTGACGTTACATCCCTTGTAGTTAATGAGGCTCTTCAGCACCCCTGTCCATCACTGACAGCGGATCTATCCAGCAATCCCGATGTCGAGCGGGAACGAGATGACACTGACAGGTGTAACAAGGGTCATCATGTCCAATGGGGCTCAGGAGCGGTGAGCGCTGCACCCTCTAGAGATGTGGGATGCGGCATCTCAAAGAGGAGACGAGGATGGTGTGGGTAAGGCATGGCGCCCAGGCAGATTACGGGCGTTGCCCATGTAAGTCATGGAGCGTCATTGTCTCTGCCAAATCGAGCTGGGTGTGTCTTATGACATTGCCCTGTTTAGCCACAACGAGAATTCGTAGACCGACATTTCCGTGAAACCGTCTCTCGCTATCTTTCACCACATCCTCATTCTCGGGCTCAGGTTTGATTCCGGCCCAGTATCGGCATCACGATCCGGCGGACGGGACAAAATCAAGATGTCGATCCCTGAGTCGAATTACGGCCTATAGCAGACGCAAAGGACTCTTTGCAGCGTTCCTGACTCGAGTGACGGGCCGCGGGGAACAGGCACATTGTTTCAAATGCTTGATGTTGGGATCTGTTGTTTCGACTGCCAAGATGGGGCAAAGCAGCCGCGACAGGAATTTGAGACTGGCGCAACCCGAGCTGTGGGACAGCAATAAGGTTGACTGGGCGAGCTCCGGCCGACCCGGCAGACGAACCATCCAGCACATACACCAAAAGCCTAATCATCGTGACAGGCGCCTTCAGCTGGGGATGGAAAAGTTAGAGCCAAAGTCTCCTGGAAAGCGCGGAACCGTCGCTGGATGCCCTGAAGCTTGTTGATTTGACAGCTCTGGGCAATGACACGGGAAACTCTAGAGTTGAGCGAGGCTTGCGCATGTCAAGCACACGCAACACACCCGGAGCCGACGGCTCGGTAGGCAAGTTCCGTCTAGACGGATTCGTTCCTCCCATGAAGCTTAACGTGCGAAGCGAACCAGGGATCCGGGAGAGAGTTTGCGATGTGACACGGGATCGTGAGAATTGGATGCCATAGGGCCTCATTGGTGGGGGAGGCTTGGGGGCTGTGCCATTTCAACCCCATTCCACGACAAGACAATTCTCGACCCGGCCGAGTCTCGAGATGGCACTGGTAGGGCCAGAGTTTCTGGCGCCTGTTAGGGCTGGGAGCCGCGGACATGTCGACGAGGTAATTGGAAGAGAAAGTTGAGGATAGCAGGTATGCATGGTTACACAGGGCAGAAGCTGCCCGTGGGCTCGACGAAACCCAGCGAGATGGATGGCGCACGGCAGTTGGCGAGTTTGGTGCCTCTTCCGGAGGAGGGAGCAATTCGATTCATTGGATTTACGGCGGGGCGCCGGCGACGGCCGTGCGAGAGCATTTGGCAAATGCTTGACCAAGGCTTGACCAAGGCTTGACCAAGGCTTAATCAAGCCTTGCGAAGCCCTCTAGAAGATGGGAGGTATGGACGATGAGGAATGTAGTAATAGCCAAGTTGTTGGGATGGAGGTTCAAGTTCCATGGAGAAGGAGGTCACGGGATCGATGGGATACTTGCAGGGGGGCTTCAGTGCGGGCGGAGGAGGAGACTGAGGAACCCAGAGGGAAGGGAAGGAGGGACGGAACCCCTGTTGCTGGTGCGTTGCAGGGCAGGAGCGGGCGGCTTCATCAAGCGCCGTCATTCTCATTCCCGGGGTTCGGCTGGTCCACCTGCCAACGCAATCCATGAGAGGGCAGGAGCATGGGCACATCAACTCATGTCAAATCTCAGGCAATGGCTCAGCAGCTTGCGCGGCGAATGCGAATGCGCGCGCGGTTACGAGAGGGAAGCATGCATAAGACGTTCACCAAGTAACGGCAGCCTATCGTTGCATTGCCGAGGAGGAGTCCTGTTGTTTTTTTCAAGGGATATGCGACCTATGGCCGGCCTTTGTGCTGTTTGGCCACGCAAAGACAATTGAGGCCATCTCGAGTCAACTGGAACCTCTCTTCAGAACAAAAAATCAAGATGGAGAAACAAAGACTGTTTTAGAATGCGCCTGATCGAAAGAGTTCCAGAGAGGGGCTTCTTTTAATGAGTGCAGGGAAAGCGAAGGCAGGTGTTATAAAAGAGTAGTCGTGGTCGCGGGTCTACTTTTAATCAACCCCTCCACTAAGTTTCTGACCCTGGCTCAACTGCCATTTTAAGCTATCCCACGGTTGCTCAGGCAATGCGCAGGCGCTCAACCACGATCCCATCGCCAACAAGTCATTTACCAGTCCCAAATCCCATCATCCCGTTAAACCATCTCCACATTCATCCTTCGATCGAGTCGCAGCCTCACTAGCTACATCGTCATCTTTTTCTTGGGAGCCCCTCCATCACAGTCAACTATTAGCTTGTTGTTGATCATCACCACCAGCTTCACCAACGTCATCGCTCACCCACTACATCTGCACACCACCGAAACGACCACGTCAAAGTGACCCCGACGCTTTCGAATTCCTGCAGCCCCTAAAGTCTGGCAGCCCCAGTGCTGCCGTTGCCATCTTGATAGCTCCCATTATAGCTTGCGAACCCGCTAGGCGTTGCCCATCATGCGGTACAACCTCATCAAGATGGTCCTTCGTGGATTTGAGCTACTTATAACACTCCTCCTGACAGCTGTGACGGGCAACGTAATCGCGTCCAACATTGATGCCGCTGGCACAGCGACTGCCGCCGTCAACTTTGTCATGTTCGTCGCCGCTGTTTGTTGGATTGTGTCAATCATTGGCCTCGGCTCATTCTTTGCCTCGGTCCTCGACAAGCCTGTCGCACAACTGGTCCTCGACGGCAGTGTCGTTCTCTTCACGTTTATTGCCGCCATCGTTCTTGCAGCAAAACTACGTGTTGTGGACTGCGGAGACATCAACCCCAAGGCTCTGCCGGGCGACTGGATCGCATGGGGTTCTAACAGCGACCAGAAGCGTTGTCGTGAGCTTCAGGCCAGCACCGTCTTCATGTGGTTCCTCTTCGGATCCTTCTGTGGCAGCCTGTTCCTCACCGTTAGGGACGTTCGAAACACCTATGGCTCCATCCGTGGCTCAAGGCCAAGCATGTCCCAGATCGGTGTCTAAGCCAACAACATGGATGGCTCAACGACAGCCAAACAACAATACGGTGATGCGCTGCCAAGAACATACATGCGTATCCTCTAGCAAGCATGGATGCTTGATGCATCCATCATCGATCAGCTTAATTAGCTAGGGAACGACATGTCTGCAGGCACTCGGTGACACACTGGTCCGGGGTTGCTCGGAACGAGCATATACGCCCACCACAGGATAGATGAGCAGGACCACTCATCATGATGGACGAGAGATGGATCGCCATGCATGCCAGAAGCAACGAGGCCTTTTGGATGTGCCTCATTATAGCAGGAATCTTTACATGTTGATAATTTTTGTAACAAAAGCCGGGAGAGAAGCATGCACAGCCTAGGAGTTGGACGATGGGTAATGATTATGTAGTAAATTTGACTTTATGACTGCTTTCATGTGTCACTATTCGGCATAGGATGCCATCAGCCGTATCAATATCCGCATCAAGGCCATGATAGATAGCCCTTGACCATTCCCTGAGCTTCGTGCAATGCCATGGTCAACGGATGTAGAGTTCCGAACCATCTATTTGGTAAACCGCAACCATATCAACCAATACCTAAACACCGTATCGAAGCCATGCATGTTCCAAAAAAGGCGAGAATTACTTTGAAATCGCCTAGCGCAGGCCTTCATCTTTTAAGGTCTCATGTCGTCTATAACGTGGCCGCCGTTTCAACAACGCCCGCCGCCTTGAAGGCCTTCTTATTTGTCCATCGGATGTCGACATTGTGCACCCACTCCATATACCGCGACCAACCTAGAAAGAACTTGGTTAGTGATATTGTTCATCGCCGCCGTAGAAGCCATCGGGACTTACTCCAGTATGCAAACTTCCGGCCAAAGTACTTGCCCATCCAAGGCACGACCAGCATGGTCAAGATGAGCTGCAGCTGCTCAAGACTACGCTCCCACTCTGCTTGAGCATCCGAGTCGGATGTGTCAGAGTAGATATCGCTCGTGGATATAGAGGGGAGAGAGTCGAGGTCATCCTTGTCCTCCATGATGGACGCATCATGGAGGTCGACGAGGGATTCGGTGGAAGGCATGTTGGCGGTTGTGGTCCGAGGTGAGGCAGAGATCGTATCGAGTATATCCGAAGATCGACGCAAGCGAGGATTGCGGTCGAAGGAATCAAGATGTCAAGGCCGTGTCGAGGTGAGCTACGATAGTTGAGGGTGGGCGGGCTTTCGGATCACGGGTTGCTTCGGACGATGGTAGCTTGCTAGCTCCTTGGTCATGAGCCAAGCAAAGCTACAGGAAGCAACTTTGTGGGGTGCTGTTTCAAGCAAAGCTGATGAAAAGTCCCTAGATGCTTGAAACACGACGAAACGAGAAGCAACAAGGTATTGCGCAAAGAGATGCCCGTGTCACAGCCGAGGAGTCGTCAACGGCCGGAGTCGCATCGGGGCCGGAGCTAGCTGGAGGAGCTGCCAGTAGTACCTCACCGAGGTGATTGGCTCCGAAGTCCGACACCACGTGATATGGCGCGTGACACTATCGCGGGCCTGTCTGCTTGCGCCTCGCTGGAGATAGGTACCTAAGGTATCTGGCTCACCCGGCCCGCCCATGACGTTCGACTCACTTCCCTTTGCACTCATAAACCCGCAACAAGCTTCACCCAAGACGCTCCGAGCGACGGCAGCGACGGCGCGCAACAAGTCAGCGATCAGACAACACTCGTGACAGTCGCTCAAATCCACGATCTGAACCAGGCCAAGCTAGAAAGGAACAAGACCGGCTGCGACAACCACCACAACCGCAACCGCAACCGCAACCACAACCACAACCACAACCACAACCAAAAATCCGGAACAACTGCCGCAACCCGCAGAAACAGCAACCCGACATCAGCGCGCAGCTGCCTCACGCAATCATGGATGGCGAGGTGGTGAGTGACAACGCCCATATCCCTTCCAATTCCAACCATGCAAGCCCCAGCACCCGAGTCAAAAGCCCCGAGGGCTGACTTCTCTGGGCTTTCTACCCCTCCAAAAAAAAACCCAGCGCCCTATCAGCTTTACCCCACCGTCACTGCGCTCTGCGTTTTGCTGCCCACTCACTGCAACTGCACACACCAAGTGCGAAAGTACCTCCGTACTGTTCTGCACCAATTTCTGGGGGGAGAGCCGACGGGTTGACTTTGACATTTATGACTTGATTCCACTGAGTCACATTTTCAAAACCGCCACTCTCCACCAACCTTCATCTTCCACCACAACAGCAGAACATCCACTCTCCACCTCCACCGCGATCTATACTGACCTGAATTCTCCTTCTCTTGCTTTACAGGCTCTTCCCGAACGCAAATCCCGCAAATCAGTCGCCTTTACCGACGAGCAAGTCGTTGTCGACGCTGACGGCTCCGTGACCATGGTCAACGCTACCGACGAAACGAAGGACACGGCCCAGTCCCACACGCCTCGTACGCCGCCGCTCTCTGCCGCCCTTGAATCCTTTACTGATTCTCAACCCCCAGCCGCCGAGGAGCTCCCCCCGGCCGAGGACGGTGGCCTCGACCTCTCCCTGCTCAAGAAGAAGAAGAAGAAGAAGGTCAAGGCCGAGGCCGAGGACGACGCCGCCCCCGCCGCCGAAGATGATGCCGCCCCCGCTGAGGATGGCGGTCTCGACCTGACCCTCAAGAAGAAGAAGAAGAAGAAGAGCTCCAAGGTCGAGAAGGACAAGTTCACCGAGCAGCTCGAGGCTCTCGAGAAGGAGGATGACGAGCCTGCCGAGGAGGTTGAGGAGGGTGACATGGACGAGGGCACCGGCATCTGGGCCCACGACGAGACCAAGTCGATTGGCTACAGCATGCTGCTCCAGCGTTTCTTCAGCCAGCTCGCCCAGAAGAACCCCGACCACGCCATCAGCGGCACCAAGAGCTACAAGATCCCCCCTCCCCAGTGCATGCGCGAAGGCAACCGAAAAACCGTCTTTGCCAACATTGCCGATATCTGCAAGCGCATGAAGCGAACCGAGGAGCACGTCACCGCCTACCTGTTTGCCGAGTTGGGTACCAGCGGTTCGGTCGACGGTAGCCGAAGACTGGTTATCAAGGGTCGATTCCAGCAGAAGCAGATTGAGAACGTTGTCCGAAAATACATCAGTAAGTCTGGCCCCTCTTGATTCTTGGCCCCATTGCTCACATACTTTCCAGTCGAATACGTCACCTGCAAGACCTGCAAGTCCCCCGACACGGAGCTCAACAAGGGAGAGAACCGTCTGTACTTCATCACCTGCAACAACTGCAGTTCCCGACGAAGTGTCACTACCATCAAGACTGGTTTCTCCGCCCAGATCGGCAAGCGAAGAAAGATGCAGGGTTAAGCAGCCCCGCGTTTCTTCGTTTCCCTTCCTTTCGGCCCCACCCGCGCTTGACAGGCTGTCCTCTACCCTATGGGCGCGGGCGGCTACGTGCGAATCTTGGCGGTACTATATCGCGGCTGCGTAGCTGGAGCTCAACTCTGTCTATCCCCCGGCCGAGCTGGCTCCGGTTTGCAGCCGAATGAGAATGAGTATGAATTTTCGGGTTTTTGGATCGGGCATCGCCTGCAGAGCTGCCTCCCTCCCTCCCCGCATGATATGGTCTTGGCTGGGGGGTTCAAAAAGGAGTGATGTCGGACCCGATACAGGATGGAATCGGGTGCCGGGGTTATGATGTGGCGTATGGGTTATGTACATAATGCCGAAATGATCAAGATTGCATCAAGTGCTGTCACTGAATATTGTTGTTGTCAGGTCCCAATGTGATGTAAAACTCGGTCTGATCATGCTAAACCACAACAATCACTCAAATCAGAGGAATAGATAAAGTTGTTGAACCGCATGCCAACAAACAGCATGCTCAGCGTGAATCTCTTTTTATTATCAACACAACGAGAAAAAAATCCGCGTTCCTTTCTCACCCCAAGGAGGCGAGTAAAGCCAGTAAACCCCTACCCCCTTATTCCCAAAATCAAAAAGAAAAAACGATGGATGCTACCATTCAACCTCCCTCTTCCCTTAAGACTTTACTTTAACATGAAGAAAAAAAAAGGATCAAAGTTAACAAGACATATGCCTTCCCCCTCCCTGAACGCAGAAAGACCATACCACTTTGTTTCTCCCCGCCAATCCCAAATACCCCCATTTTTTCTCCATACGTCTGTGTGTTGTTGCTTGTAGCTTGTGTTCAAGGTCCAGGAGGAGTAGGTCCAAAAGTGATATGAGTGTACGCCTGTTGTGCTGATGTCGTGGGCAGCCCCGCCTCGGGTTCGTGGGCGCCGTTGGTTTATAGTACACGCCGTGAATAGTTGTAGAAAATGAGACAAGGGAATGAAATGCCACCTCTCTGATGTCGAGTCTAGGCAAAGATGGACGTTCCTCCGACTAGTCCGTTGGGCTTGCCGGCGTTCTCAAAGAGAGAGCCAGCCTTGGAGTCACCCTCGAGAACCAGAGGAGCGGCTGCGCTCTTGGTTGCGTCGTCCATGTTACTGTCGACTTCAGCCCGGGCAGCCTCGAGGGTGGTGCGAGCCCATTCGTTAAGCCGGTTCTTCTCGATATACTGATGAAGGAGTTTATCCTCATGCTTCATAGCCTCGATCAACTTCGCCCGGAACGAAGTGTCAAAGTCACGGAACCGGCGGTCCAGGTTCTCAGTGAAGGAACCCAGGGCCTCCTGGGGTGACAGAGACCGGAAGGGCTCTCGTGCATCCTCTGTACGTACGTTAGTAACAATTCTTCAGCCATAATAAGGTATTCGACTTACGGAAATTGATGCAGTCCACAAACATGGCATAGAGCTCGGTATCTGCCAGCCTCTCCACCACCTCGCGGTCATCCTTTAGCTGGGTATCATTGATCTTGGCCCAGTCGTCACGGATGAAGAGCCGCCTCCAGATGAGCCTCTTGGCCTCCTTGACCTCGTCACGGTGGCAGCTGCTCTCAGCTACCTTGAGGGCCAGCCAGAACGGATGAGCAGTCTCTTCTCGCGACTCGGGCCTGAGTGAGACCAGTGTGAGCAAGTCAATGAGGGTCATAGCATCCAGAGCCTCGTGCTTGAGGAGACGCTTGATGCCATCCTCAAAGATCTGATGCTGTGCCTTCTGGCGGCGAGGAATGTTCATGCTATGAACCTCCATCGCAAAATTGAGGGCAGCAGCATCATCCACGGCATCGTATGTGCTGGGGAGAATCTGGTTGTAAAGTTGATCTTGAATCTTGATAGCGATCAACTCCTTGTCAACCTTCTTGAGCTTCTCGTCAACACGGGCCTCGTCAGAGTTGACCTTGAAGGTGTTGTTGCTGGCCTCCTTCTGTTCCATCTCGGCCAGAAGAGCCAGCTTTCCAAGACTCAATTCGATCTTCTTGTTCCACACCTGTTGCTCCTTGGTGAGAGCCAGGTCCACAAGAGTATCGGCGCCGTGACCAACATCGTTCTCCTGGGTCACGTCATTGATCCATGAGATTCGTGCCAACTCTGGCTTGCTGCGGAGGAACTGTGTCTTGAAGCCCAGTTTATCCAAGTCAAACTCCAGAACGGACTCAACACCGTGCTTCTGAAGAAGGAACTCGTACGCTGGGAAGGCGAACGCTTGGCCATAGTTGGAAAAGCTGCTCTCCAACTTGGCCTTCTTGCTCTCTCTAAGCCGCTTAAGGTTTTGCGCTTCCAACAAAGAAATTCCAGGTTCAGCGAGCCGAACTTCGAGTTCTTGAATGTGATCCAGCAAGATGACCGACAGTGCGCGAAGGCATTCATGCTTCTCCGCGATGGTCGCACCCTCTTCCCACTTTCCTGATCGCGCCAAGGCAAGGGGCTTTTCGAATCGGTCTGTTTGATAGACTTTGACAAAGTGCTGAGACATGGTCTTCTGGTCGGGAGTTGTCGAAGCCCAACGGGCATATTCCAAGACAGAGGTGAGCATTCCATCAGTGACAGTAGGGAGCTCCTCAAAGATCTTGGCGATGATCTTGGGATCTGGCTGGTTTGATCCCTTGGCAGGCTCGTCTGCGCCAAGGTGTTTCATAACCCATTGGTCCGAGAGATCAACGAGGCGCTTGAGGTTGTTTGCGACATAGTGGCAGCCAGTCCAAGGCTCAGGAAGATCCTCATAACCGTCACGTAGAATACCCATGCGGAGTTCTTCGAATCCTAGTCCGTAAAAACCGAGGTTGTTCTTTCGGAAATCGAGAGCCGCCACGTGCGTGCAGGTGTTAACCTGGATAGCTTCGTAAATCATAACGTTGACCTTGGCGTCGTCGAGTAGGTGGTCCTTGTACAGGGTCTTGATCACCTCGTATGCCCAAGCAACAAAGAGTTCGAGACGGAAGACATCGTTGATGAACCAGTGGCGGACTCGGTCAACCTCGCCAATCTTAGCAACTGGGTTGTGCTTCTGGTCCTGGTGAATAAACTCGACTATCGA